TTTCAGATTTTTAGATACCACAGCAGTATTAATGCATAGTTCACGAACGGAAGATTTAAGCGAATTTCTCTCCTCTCTGTATTACACCAGAATATCGGAACCCGGCAAGAAAATCTTCGTTACGTTCAATAGAGGCCAAAATGTGAGTCAAGCAACGCGAAAATTTGTGAAAAAAACTAGTTTTTTGTCCCTTTTCCAGACGTTCGCCGTTGATGTTCCTAGACCATTTCAGTTACCCAGTATTCCTGAAAATGTAAGCGCATGCTTTTCTAACGCCAGCTTCTGGAAACATATTGAAAACACACCGTAGGATTAACTTTTTTGTACGATTTTTTGCAGCGCAACCTCACAGAGTATTATAACGCGGTTGATACCAATAATATGATGATTATTTTTGCATCCATGTTGTATGAGAGGAGGATTATATTTACTTCTAAGCAACTAAAAAGGTTAAGCGCATGTGTCCAGTCAGCAAACGATATTATTTACCCAATGATCTGGCAACATATTTTTATTCCAGTGTTACCCTTGTCTCTTATAGACTATCTTTTGGCTCCAATGCCTTTTTTAATTGGTGTTCCTGATGAAGTATTGAAGGTAGCTATAGCTAAGGGTTTTTATCCACGATATAGATATCAGAATGTTCTTTCAGAAAGTATCTAGAAGTGAAATAGGCGAGGTGGTTATCTTGGACGCAGATAGTAACACAGTCGAAACTCCGTTTGATGACTTAAATAATCTGCCCCAGGATGTGGTGAGTAGATTTTCGGACAATTAATGCGTTTCATCGCGACGAAATGAATCTTTCTAAAGTAATTCTAACGATTAACGGAGATTTTACAATTCTGTTCTATTCATCTGCGCTCAAAGGCATTGAAACAGTCAATTGCCCAGTAATCGGGCATAATTCTTGATTAGTTAATACGGTGTTTCCTTAGCGTTGAGCGAACTTGCGGCCTCGGCTCGGCAAGGTAAATTTATTGAACTTTTTAGATCTCCCGCTGACGCCAAGCCATTACACGTATGTAAGTGCACACCCGAAACTATTCGTCTAATTGTTGTTAGCTTAAATCAATGGAACGGACGATTAACCGCTCGCATCTACTGCGATGATGCAACTGCTTGTTTATTCATCATTATCGCTCAATGCGCCGAAATATTCCTGTAAATAACACATGGTCGTTACTGTACAACTGTTAAGCAGCCGAAGCGCAATTTCGTTGTTAATCCTCCTCTTTGTGGTGTTTTAGATCAACTCTCTGAGGAAGCATCTTCGAAATAAGTCTGCAGTGTTGGGCGATGGCGTGTCTAGAGCCTTTCTTAGAGCGCTAGTGCAACTTATCGGCGGCTATCGCGATGCCCTCAAGTTCCAGCCGCGACAAAAAGTGACTTTCGATGAGGAAAAGTTTATCGAAACCCGACCAGTGGCTCTGCAACCGTTCCTGCGGGAAATGCTTAATCTTCAAATTTTCCAACAGGTAAACCGCTTCAGCTGAGATTTAAAACTTCTAACTAATTCTAAAAACTGACTCAACTGTCTTCAGTTTATCGAAGAAAGATTGACAATGTTGAACACGGGAAGGGGATTCTCTGATGAGTTCGAGTTTGAGCTGGAGAACTATTCAGCGAAGTCCGGGTCCAAATTGAAGCAGCAATACAAAGAATGGACGTCGTCGATGAAGAAGGAAGGAACGGCTTTCCTAAAAAGCGTCAAAGACAAGGTATGAACTTGGGCAAACGTATTTTTTTTTTAAATTGATAACTGCGTTTCCAGGCAAATCCTGCCATGAAATCGGCGGTTAAAACGGTAAGCACCTCGCGCAGTTTCAAGCAGTTTGGATGCGAAAATTATCCTGCAGGTGAAAGATGGCGGGAAGGGGATGAAAAGCGCCTACAAAGGAATCCGGTCGAAGCTGAAAGAGGGCCACAGTGCAGGTGAGCCCCATCATCCACACAGCATGTACGAAAGTGGTAAGCCCAGATCGGCCCCGAGTTCGCCAACCACCAAGAGGAAAACGCTCTCCGATTTCACGGCGCCGGTGGCTTCCTATAAAAAAGATGCGTCTTTAGCCATAAAAAATGCAAACTTACAAAGGTAATTATATGGGGTGAGTTTTTAAACGTTGTGAAGCCTGTTCGCCGGAATTCGCTTATGAATATATATGTTTTGAATGTTTATGGTATGTTCAGTGAATATACATGTGTAATTTCTGGGAATGTACATGGTATGTTCAGGGAATATACATACATATATGTAACAAAAGAAAAACGATACTTTATTTCCTCTTATTAGTTTATTCACATATTTGAGTATTTACTGATGTAATTTTTCAACAACAAGAGTTACTTGCAA